ATCAAAAGGCTGTTTTGACATTTTTTAATCCCAATAATAATATTTTTAAACTAATTAAATGCTTGCTGCTACCTGAAGTAGAATTATATTTTTAAAATGGTACAAAACTCTAAATTTTTAGCGATGAAAAATTAAAATTTAAATATATTTCAAAGGAATCCCAGATAGAAAGCTTTATGACAGTAATATCATTACTGTACATTAGTACTTGAAACTTCATTCCCAAAGCAATCATGTTCACCAGCAGCCACTGTCTGGAAAAGAAAGTGATCCTGCTCAAGTCACTGGAAGTTTGCTGTAGTCTTTGGCAACGAACAGCCTCTTGCAGTGTTGAGAACTGAATTGTGAGTGCTTTATCAACTCGCAAAATTAAACTAAAAGCTTTGAATCCATTTTTTAACTGTACTGCATGTGAGATGACAAAGTAAACCAGACAAAATCAAGTTGGCAGACATTTAGTTGTCAGTTTTTCATCTGGCAGTCTCTATCTGCCTTCTGAAGAACTGCAAGCTAAGCTCTGCTAAGCTCAGAGCTCATAGGCAGTGTTTTTTAATTAAGACGAGAGCAGGATGCCTCCTAATACTTGGAATGCAGCTGGCTTCAGAGAAGTGGATATTTAGGATGACCTCCTATGCTGAACCTTCCAACTTTGAACATTGCTTTAACAATTAAGCTCTTCTGGCCCTATGTTTAAATAGCTGTCCGCAGCTACTGCAAATTGATTTATTGCCTGATGGGGATCAGGGATGCTGAGCAAACACAGAACAGTTTCTAATTTAAGTATTGCACCACTGGTTTTGTTGTTGTTGCTTGATTACTTGTTTTAACATCAGCATGTGTTCTCAGCTTAGCTTTATGCTCTTCTCCTGCAGTTTTAGAACTGTTACAATGGAGAGGGCAAAACTCACATAACGTTACAAGCGAAGCTTCATAGTGCTTCTTAATACAGTTCCCTGACACGATCTGTACAGATACTGTTTAAGTTGCTTATGTCCCTTTACTTAATTGTACAGATTTGGTGTGGTGCTTTTTTTTGTAGGTATCTGATGTAAACTCATTTTTAGTTTTCATTTCATGCTCTGTAACTTTCATTTTAGAACGTTAGCTTAAGTTATCCAGGTATTTGAAAATGAAGCTTGCAAATATATGGGCTTGCTTGTTAAATTTATGGCAGCATTTTTGGAAAAGCTTCAGTATGTGCGGTCTGTAGGAAACATGCTTAAATCTTGAATGGAACAGAAGGGAAGACAGAATGGAGGGATGTATCATTTTTTTCCTTTTAACATTACTATGGATTTAAATACCACCACAGTCAGCCTTGAATGTGGTTTTAGCAGCCGTCTTACCTGAGTATCTCATCTGCAGAGGTATTGTTCCATGATCAGTTTGATCTGTGCCTTCCTTGGTTCTGAGGCTGAGAAAATGAGATGCTTTCATGTCCTCAAAGTGCCTTTGTTGTAGCTATGGGATGATGGGGGCAGGTGGTCTGACATGATTAGGGAAGAAGAATTGATTTTGCAGCATGTAGAGTTGGCATAAATCTTCTTTATAAATCTTGATTCACTAGAAAGTGGTTAGGAGAAATCAGCAGAGAGAATGGCAGGCATATTTTGGGACCATGAAATTGTTTGTGTAAAGAAACTAGGCCTGAGATGTCACAACGAAGAGACAGATGGAGGGTTGCAGGCAAAAAAAACTGCTGGAACAGCGATGTAATGGCCATAGCAAGGGTAACTCTGGATTGATAAATAAGGTTGAAGAGCAAAACCAACTTTTTGGTGCACATCTGGAGCAAAGAACAGACAACAAAGGTGGCTGTTGACATAAGGAAGTTAAATCAGGTGAGAAGTCATAAGAAAAGGATCAGCTAGAGAACGAGAGTGAAAAGAAACAAACAAAAAATTGCACAGCTGAATGTGCATCTCAGAGAGTGAGGAGTTCCAGAATAAGATTAAAGAAGAGTGCAACTAGGACAGTTGGAACAGTGATGAGAATCAGACGCTAGCAATAGCAAGATAAGAAAAACAACACTGGGATGAAGAGCCAAGAGTGAAGAGAAAATGAATACAGGTTAGAAATAACAAACGAAGATAAGGCAAAACAGGGACGCAGGGAACAAGCAGATGGGAGCGTGCTATTAAAAAGTGCCCTCTCACGGATCTTGGGACTAAACCCAAGGTTCTTTGTCACTCCTCTGTCACTGAAATGCAACGGTGAGGAGACTTAATAACTCTCTATGCAGAGTAGGATCTGAAGGACTGTGGTGAACAAAGCTTTCAGAAAAAAAAAGCAACAGAAAATAACACTGAAGGGCTTCTTGATAATTCAGTAGAAAAAAAGTTGTATATGGATATACAGTGAAAAACTGCGTCATAATACATAAGTAGATATGAGAGAGAATGGAGAAAACAGATTTCACAGGTGAGCTTGCTGCTGCTAAGATGATGACTGCTTGCTTTTTAACCTCAAAAGTTTGGCTTTAGTTTATATAATTTACTCGGTGTATATAACTTCCCTAATGAATAATTTGGAGAACTGGGGACTCCTTCAGCATAGCTTTGTCTGTGTTACAGGCACTGTTGGGAAAAGCAATGGGCTTATCAGGAGATAAAAGCAGGAAGGTAACGAGCTCTCTCTGAGCTTCTCCACCTCAGCCTCTGGAGCAGTGCTGCAGGCCCCAGGAACAGAGCAGAAATGGTCTCCAGCCTTCACAGCCGTCAGCATGTGCTGAGCTCAATGCTTGTGAATAAGCCTATTGTGTCCACCCACCTCAGACTGTGGACAGGATCAAGGCCTAAACAGGAGACAGATAGCCAAAGAATGAGGAGGAGGTGTGAGCAACCGTGTTTCAGATGTGGATTTATTTTTTTTTTCGGTCTGTGGTTGTGTCTGTCTTTCTTGCAGATTTGTCCTTTTTAAAAGAAATCTCTTTGTTTGTGTGGGAAGAGCAGAAAAGCCTCCAGCTTTCAGGATACAAAATAAAATATCCCTGCCACTCATCACACAACTTCATTTACCATTATCTGTGTCCCTGTGATATTCTCCTAACCAGGAAACCTAAAGGAATAGGGAAGACGATCAGAGTCCTTGTTGCTGTTGTGTTCCTTCGGTTGGTTGCATTCCAGCTCAGCATTCTGGCTTTCTGTCCTTGCGTTCGTTTCTTTGGAAACGGCTGTAGGATGGATTTTTGATTGACTGTGTTGTCAGATGGATTATCAGAGTTGTGAGCTTTTTGGAATGGTAGACACGAACGTGTGAGAAGAAAAAAATATACATATTTTGTACTTAAACCATTTCAAAATTTTGTATCATGAAAAAAGCTAGATGAAATATTTAACGGGTTACTTCAGGAAAGTTTGTTTTTTGAAAGATGTCAACGAGTTTTGTTACTAGGAAAAAGAAATAATATGGAGAAATGTGATAAATGGGAGTATTAATACCTAAGCAGTGTAGGATATTTTCTGCAGAGACACAATGGTTATTTTAAACAGCAGTTTGAAGCTGTAGCTGCTCTGAATTCAGGGCAGAAAACAGCTTTTAGCCTGACTGGTACTCACACTGATTTGTTACAGCACAAATGTGTGCAGATCTCTGTGTGATTCCCATCTGTAGTTCTGAGGTTGTCTTCTGCCTGAGTCAGGGCTGGGTGGTGGCAGCTGTCCCCATGCTGCTGGTGGCTCTGCAGTGCTGGAGGTTGGGGCTGAGGGACACCAGCACACACCTTGCTGCAGGAGCTCATCTCCTGCTGCACAGAGCTCTGTAGCCAGCTTGCTGGGAGATGGGCACAGATCACACATTGTGTTGTGTACACCTTCTCTTTCTTTAGAGCAGTCAGAAAAGTCAGTGTTTCTGCAGCAGTGCTGACGAATGAGGATGCTGGATGGACTGAGGGTGTTTCTGTTGTTGCATTCAGGTGCATGGGCCTGGGAGAGATAATGGATTTTTTACAGGTGCACATACGGAACAAAACCAGCAGAACAACCAGATCACTGCAGGCAAGTCCAGTGTGTGAAATTAGCATCGAATAAGTGACACTGGGGGTAAAACATCCCATCTGTCCCCATGGGAAAAACAAAAGCTTAATTTCCAATCGGTCTGAGCTGGTGTCTTCAGCAGAAGGTGGCCTCACTTTCTGGTACCGTTCAAGCATAGATGGCCATCACCCAGACCTGCTCTTCTGCAACAGTGGAAAAGGCCTCCAGAAGTTTCCTTGGAGCCTGTGGAAACTACTGTGAGGAAGAGGGAAAAGGAAAAGCCTCAGGTTTTCCAGGCATTTCTCCGATGTGGTGGTGCTCAGGGGCCTGTGACAAATGGCTGGGACAGAAAACTGGTATCGGATGCTGAAGGCAGTGGCCACGCTGTTGGTGGCAGCTGCTTGGCCTTTGGCTTTCTGCTCGGGCGAAATGTGATGAGACTGGGAGGAACACAGGCACAACCTGTATGCCAAAATGTAAGGAAGCACAGTGCATGGATGTTTTACCTTACGTTGTCCATACTTGATGCTACTCTTCATCATACTCTATTAATTAAGCTGTCATTAGTTCTGTCTTAGCCACCCCTGCACCAACAGCTGTGGCAGCATCTACCTACAGCCAGGCAGCCCTGTGGATGGCAGGGTGGAAAAAGGGGTCTTCCCTTCCCAGAATCACAGAATGGTCAGGGTTGGAAGGGACCTCCAGGATCATGAAGCTCCAACCCAACAGCTCCCAACAGCTCCCTGTCTTTCTTGTACTGGGGGCTCCAGACCTGGACACAGTACCACAGATGAGGCCTCATGAGGGCAGAATAGAGAGGGACAATCACCTCCCTGTCCCTACTGGCCACCCCTTTTCTGATGGAGCCCAGGATCCCATTTGCTTTCTGAGCTGCAAGTGCTGCTGGCACTGCTGGCTCATGTTAAGCTTTTCATCTATCAAGACCCCCCAGGTCCCTCTCTGCAGGGCCGCTCTCAAGGACCGCTCCTTCCAGTCTGTTCCATTAAAATCCTTTTTCCTTTGCAGCAGCTCAGCCCACAGAGAGGTGACAGCACTCTGCACCCACTCGCCACGAGCTCCCCGTCGAGGGGAGGGACCGCTTCCGAAGCGACGCTCCTGGCACAGCCCGGGGGAAGGGACGACCTCTGGATTTCCACTCCGGCGACAGGGAAAAGGCGATCGGGAAACGGTATTTGCGGGAAGAGGAGCAGGCAGTGCTTCGCGGCAGCCCTTTCAAAAGCCCGTGCTAAATGTGACACCACGGCGGAGCGGGAGCCGCAGGAAACTCCCCTCAACCCCCCCATCACTCACCCCGCTCTTTTCCATGGAAACTCGTAAAAAGGGGGAGGAAGAGTAGAGTTTGCTACGCAAAAGTCTCACCTTGGTCTGAAACCGTTTCAGGCGGTTCTGCAGGACCGGAGCTGCCCATCTCGGGGGAGGGGAGGAGACAGGGAGCTCTTTAGCTACCGCACACACTTTTTTTTTTTTTTTTTTCGCTCGATCTTATTTTATTCCAGCAGCAGCAGTGTATCTCCACCCTCCGCCCTCCCCCTCCCTCTCTCCCTCCCTCCCTCTTTCGCTCCCTCCCTCCCCAGGTTGATCGGCTGAAGGCGGCTTTGCGCGCTGATCCCTCCTCGGGCTTTAAAGAGGCGCCAGCCCCGCGCGGCTCGGGGCGCTCAGCGGGACGGTGCGGAGCTGCGCGGAAACTTCGCTCGGGAGAGGAACCTCCACCGCTTTCCCGGCGATCCACGTGAGGACAGGAAAACCCGGCTGAGAGATCTCAGATTAACTTTTTTTTTTTTTTTTTTTCTCGATTTTTTTTTTTTTTTTCTTCCTTCTGCTTGTTTGTTTGTTTGGTCCTACTTTCATTTTGGAGCCGGATCCCAACTGCTTGGCTGAACTTCTGCAGAGCGATGGACCTTTAAATCGCCTTCCTCTGTTTTAAGCAAACTATGGGCGCTTAAACTTTTCTCTTCTCCCCCTCCCCCTCGCGCCTTCACCCCCCGCCCGCCCATGGGGCTCACGCTGCGGAGCCGCCGGCACGGAGAGCAGCACACCAGCACCGCGCTGCTTCCCCATCCCCTCTATCGCAGCTGATCCCTCTTCTCCTCCTCCATCACCTCGTTCTCTCTGTCCTCCGGCTTTTTGGCTGCCGGGAGCCGAGCCGCGCGTTGTTTGATTTGATCTGGCTTCTTTTGTTGTTGCCTAAATGCCGCGCACCGCTTATCTAGAGAGAGAGCACTCCGGAGATAGGGGCGGCCGGTGAACGTGCGTGTTGCTGTAGGACTATCGGGGGAGCGGATCGGCAGCAGCCCGGATCCTGACCCTGCCTGTATGAATAAGTAAGCAGGATGCTGACAATGTGCGTTAGTTGCCTGTAAGGTTGTCGTAAGTTAAAGGGGGACGGAGGAGGCGGGGGGGGGGGGGAGGCTAGACCAGAGACAGATCGCAGAGTAGGAGCGCGGCGGGGGAGGCCCTGACACTTGGCTCTGCCGCCTCCCATCGCTCGGGCTGCGCGCTTTGCCGGAGCAGACCCCCCCCCCACCCCCGCTCCCTTTTCTTCCCGTCCGTCCTTCTTTCTTTTCTCTCCTTCCCTCTTCCCCGCGGCAGTTCGCTGATGTACAGCCCGGATCCATCTTCCGGCAGCAGCAGCGGCGGCGGCGGCGGCAACAGCGGGACCGGGGGCGGCGGCGCGGCGGGGCGCGGACCGGGTGCGGAGCGGAGCGCGGGCAGCGACCGCCGCCGGGGCGGAAAGTTTGCCCGGGCTGCGCCGAAGGCTGAGGGACGCCCCGAGAACCGGCACCTCTCGGCCTGAGCCCACCCCCGCACCCAGCCACCCACACGCCCGGCGGGGTGCGGGTAGGAGGGGCGGCGGAGCTCATGCTGCCTTGGGGCTACCTAGGGAGCGGCGGCTCTAGGTGCTGAAGAAAACAAACAAACGGAGCCCCAGCCAACTCCAAACTTGCGGTTCCTCCATCCCTTATCCTCCTTTCTCAACCCGGCGGTGCCGCCCGCCTAACTCCGCCGCGCTCCGCGCACCGCCTCTCCGCCCGAGGGAGGATGAAAATGCTCTGCTGGCGGCTGGCGCTGTGGCTGGCCGCCTGGGCTGTCTGTGGGAAGCCGTCCTCCTGCTCTGCCCTCGATTATGACTACACTTACGATTTCACCGAAGAGGATAAAGCCGAGGCGATAGATTATAAGGATCCCTGCAAAGCCGGTAAGTGACTTCCCCGCCCGGCGCTGCTCCCCACCCCCTCCCCAGATGGTGACTTTGTCCCGGCTTCACTCCTCCGCCCGCCGAGGGGCCTCACCTGCTCCTCCCCGGGGGAGAGGGCGGGCCAGGACCCGCGTTGCCGGCCGGGCACCGCGGAAGTTGCGCGGGGCGCTTGGCGGGGCATGGAGGCTCTTCGCACCGCACCGAGAGCGGCTGGGCACCCAAAGGGCGATAGACCGCTCCGCCCGTTGCCACCCCCGGAGCGGCCCCTTCTCGCTCTCCCGCACCGCAACCTGTCTGTCCCGGTCCGGCTCTCTGCTCGTGGGGGCGGGCACGGGGCGGGTTCTGGGCGCCCGCCGTTCCGTGGTGAATATTGACATCGGGGTCGGGCGGGGCGCGTAGCCCCGTCCGTGCACACCGATAGGAGAGCGAAGGAGCATCCGTGCGCCGCCGGGGAGTGCTGTGATGAACGTGTGCTGGTTTAAGACGTCAGCTTCCTTTCTGCCAGGTACGGCCGTTGGTTCTTCTTGCTGACCTGAAGAACCGCTTCGCTTTTGTCTCTCGTCGATACGTTCTCTCGAAACGCGGTGGTCGTCCCCAGCTCCATCGTTAAATAAGCGCCGAAGTTTTCCAGCGATCTCCTTTGCATTAATTAGTTACTTTGTATGCTGAAGACTGGTTCAGCCAAAGGTTGCGTGCGCCGTGTCAGTGTGGTTTTGTTTCATTTCTTGAGGAGAATGTGGTGAACGTATATGCCAACTATGCAGACGTTGTGTTTTCCTAATCGCAAAAATAGTTTGTTCCGAAAGTGTGAATTGTTAGGTCTTCCGTGCCTGCAGCTGAGGAATGCCTCAGTTCAAAAGAAGTAGAAGCGACTGCAAACAAAACGTTGTTTTCTTCCAATTAGCGCTCACAAACAAGCGTAGCTGGTTATAATTAAGCTGGGATCTTTTTCTTTTTTTTTTTCTCTTGGTCCCTGGTTCTTCCAGGAAGATTCGTAGGCATCATTTTATTTAACAAGAAGTGTATTTGTTCTACCTGCAGGGGTGTTTTTTGTTTTTTTTTCCATACTTCTTGCTGCACAGTGGAAGTAATCAGAAATTGCAGTATGTGACAGCGTTTTACGCTTATGTGTGAGAGAAGGATGATGGTAAGAATCTGTGGAGCACAATTAGTGTTGCCAATTCCCTGCCATCACTGTTTTGCTTGGAGAAAAAGGCACGTGTTTGGGAAGTTTGGCCCATTGAAGTATTTCATGGAAGGTGCTTGCTGCTGCTTCGTGATGTGTTTGAATATTACCACAATGAGAGACACCTGGGTGCACCAGGTGTTAGCTGGATACCATTCCCATTGGTCTTAAAAGCAATTGCTGTGAGGTTCTTTATTTAGTGAACAGCCCATCCATATATATATATATGTATATTTAGGATATGGTTGTTCTTCAGAGATGAAAATGTACATCACTTAGTGCTGCACGTTACATTTGTGCCACGGACCGATCGTTTTAATAAAGATGAGAAAGTTTATCAATGAAACCGATTCTCCAAGAGTGTTTCCCAAAGACTTTTCCTGCTCAGCCTCTGTTAGGAGCATACCTTGGCTCAGCCAGTCTGATCTGACCCTCTGGGATGGATGCCGGGCTGCCAGAAGTCACTTACATTGTTCTTTTTGAACTGTTCATGCTGACAATAGCGAGGCCTCAGCTAGAAGTGAAGTTCAGCAACTTGGCACCAGGGGAGAAACGCCCAAACTCAGTAAAGATTTTACTAAGTGATTTGAAAACTCCAAAGAGTCCCATACAGATTTTACAGACCTGCTGGAATAATCTGACCCACCATAATTTGACCTACCAAAGTTCCTTTGAAACCAGCCACAACTTAGGCCCTCAAATACGCCGATGCAAGTCAGACTTGCCTTTATTTTAGAAGTTAATTGCATTCTAATTTTCTCCACTCTGTGGCATTTGCTGCTTAGTTCTTATTCCTCGAGCCACACGAGTCAATGTTCATGATTTTGCAGCATCGAGCACAGCACAGAAGGCCTCAGGTCTACATCAACTATAATTCCATATAGGTAATTACTCATAGATTTAGTCCCAACTCTCTTGGATCAGGCTTCTTTTGTTAGGCTCCTCTTTTCTCTGTTTTTTCCTTTTGTGGAAGAGCTGGAGAAACCTACCAGAAATGGAAAGTGGCAGTCTCTAACACGTTATTTATAAGTATGTTTTGTAATTGTTTTTCAGTATTCAGTGTGCATTTTAACGCTTAGTGGAAAAGGGCTCATTTTGGCTGGCCTGCCTACAATCATACTGCTTTCTGCAAGTTAAATCCCCAGAAGCAGAGTGTAATGCAGAATACTATAGAGGCTTACAAGTGCATTATCTTACTATGTTTCCAGCTTGATGAAAACTGAAATCCTTAGATAACAAGAGTCTGATGGATGCACAGTAGGGTTAAGAATTTTTTTCTGGAACTGATGTTCTCAGCTGCATTAGGAAAAAAAAAAAAAAAAAGCAACAAAAAAACAGCAGCTGTTTTGCAATAAACCCACGCTTGAGTGTCAGCAGTAAAGCCAGCACCTTGAGAGCCCTGGGAGCAAGGGGCTGAGGAAGAGGTGCCTGGGGAGTGCTGTTGTGGTGCTGCTTAGGAGGAGCAGAGGTAAGGAAGCTGTTGACACTGAGGAGATTAACTTGATGAGCTGTGTGGCTTCCTGTGTGTTTTTCTGCAGTCCTTTAACCCAGGGATGAATTTTGGGTCATGCTACTTCTCCTTCTAACAAGTCTCCTGGCATTCTCTAACAGCGGGATGTGATGTAATGTGGTTTCAGTGCTTCTGATGTCTCAGATATTTCCTTGTGTCTCTCTGCAGGATGTTGCCCTTAGTGTTTACCATTGTGAAGTTCAAATGTAAGGCATTCTTAGTTTATCTTCCCAGATCTAATTTGCTGGAAGATGTGAAACTGGGAATGCCATGCTCATCTCAATGTCAGGCTTAAAAGAATCTAGCAATATAGATCATATATATATGTATACGTACAGCAAGTACAACTCCAAAAAATAAAATGTTTAGTTAGATTTAAATGGGCACTGTCAAGCTTCTCCTATATTTATCTCTGCATTCCTGAGATTTTACTTTTTCTGCCTTTATCACAGCCTGTAATGTATTAAGAATATTGATTGAGAAATATACGGAGTGAGATGAGCAGGAAGAGGGTTTCCCATCCTGTATTACTTATGGATAGCCTGCTCTTAGTTGGCATTAAAGTTTTTAGAGTGCTTTTGTTTTGCTTCTTTAAAAAAGAAAAAGAAAACAACAGAG